GTATAAAATTACATTGAAAAATCTGAGTGTTATACCCGCCATATTAACTATTCAGCAATTTATATTTTTAAAATAATGATAAAGGATTTTCGGAATTATCTAGCTAGATATATCATACCATTTGACATTTTAATAAGATTGATTATTATCTAATAATTTATATTGATAACAAGATACAGTCAAAACTACACACATACTCTAACATTAAATTTGGATCTTTACGAATTACATATACTTTATTCTAATATTTACAATTGCCTATGCTGTAAAGATAAGCAATGACTTAAGGTTCATATCTACGTATATGAGATATTAATTAGTTATGGGTTTACCTAATATGTACACTTTATTTTGTAATCTGATACTAGTTTTCATTATAATTTATTTAAATATTTAATTTGGAATTTTTTTATAAGTTATAAATATGTTCTGTCTATCTCAGTAGATTTCAAAAGATAAAATTTACACGGCACTTGTATGTAAACTGCTACATCTAAATCGGAAAATTTTACATAAAGAAAATAAAAATAAAAATAAGTTGATTCATAAAAAAAACTTTCGATATGATTCAGATAGAGAGTTTAATCAAATAATATATTCCGTAGTATTGAAAATATAAAAACATACAATAGCATCGGATCCTAAGAGAATGAATAAATTAAAGTGGGAATTGAAACTTTGCTTTGGATTGGATAGGTGCCAATAGGGATAGTTAATACGGCCGTAGAATTTAATTGATTAATTTCGGGTCCGCAGCCACGGAGTGGACAGTACCCGAATTATGACATTAAATTATGGGTCCGCAGCCACGGAGTGGACAGTACCCAAATTTTGAAACTCGATCGTTTAGGGTCCGCAGCCACGGAGTGGACAGTACCCAAACGATAGGCCTGACTCACACAACGGTCAGTGCCGATACTACTCAGATGGTCCGTAGCCACGGAGTGGACAATACCAGATGAGGAATGTCCCGTTTATCCAGTCCATTAATCTAAGGAGTAATATTCCTGAAAATAAGAAACGTAAAGGAAATTTATTTGGAAATGCAAGTTGAGAAAATCGGAATGGTACATTGAAAAGGGAAAAATGCTAAGTGCATAAGAAGTATATTTTAATTTGTTATACCCTATATTCTGAAAATTTTGGAAAATGATTGATGTGATCAAATTGGGTTATTATTTTGATGACAAATTATCAAGCTACATTATCTATGAAGAAAAGTTGTATTCTCAATTCGGATTTATAAACTGCTTGGTTATTATATTGTTACAAATTATGTTGGTTTATGGTGACACCTTTTACATTGAGAAAGAATGAACACCACTAAGCAAGATTTGCTTAGCGCGTTGGATTTTTGTCCTTCGCGTAGGTCAATAAGCGTCGCGAGCCGGAATTCAAGTCGAGGAGCATTTGGGGGAGAAGCGGCCAATCACCAGAGAGTCACATTTTCACTATTAGTAATAGCTCATCCCTAGTTTGCATGATAAGTGCTCATTAGCATATTAGTAAATAAACATGGAGTGATCAATTTTCATGGATGTACTCGATTATTCCAAAAATCCAGAACTACTTGATGTGTAATATATTTATGCTTCCGCAAATATGTTAGTATTCTTCTTTAAAATTAACTAAAAGTATAAATAGTAAAGAAATAGTTAGTTAGTCAACGCTTTGGTGCTTCGGCACTGCGGGTAGCGCTCCCTGCCCGATCCTTCCGGGCTGGGTAGGGGGTGCTACAGGAGAGGGTAGATGACAAGGCGGAGTATATTATTTTCACGGTTTTTATCAAATAAAGGCGTGCCAAATACGGAAGCATGGCTCAAGCGATTTGTGGCACTCCCGGTTAGGACATCCGTCATCAAAAGTGTTACGTTATGTTTTGAATTTGAATAAATTTGAGTCTGCAGATGAGTTGAATAAATTTTGTGATGCATGTTTAAGAGGCAAGCAGACTCGCAAAGTATTTCAAATTAATAATGCTGAAGCAGTGGAACTATTTGAGCTAGTACATTGTGATGTGTGGGGTCCTTATAGGGTACCGTCATCATGTGGTGCTCATTATTTTTTGACCGTTGTTGATAATTTTTCACGGGCGGTTTGGGTGCACTAAATGAAATCTAAAGATGAAGTACAGAACATTTTTAAACAATTTTGTGCGATGACCAAACGTCAATTTGATAAACATGTGAAGGTGGTGAGAAGTGATAATGGAACAGAATTTTTGAAGTTGAAAAATTAAATTATTTTCTTGACAATGGAATAATTCATCAGACATCTTGTGTGTATACTCCGCAACAAAACGGAAGGGTAGAAAAAAAAGACACATTTTAGAAATGGCACGCACTCTCCGGTTTCATGTAAATTTACCTCTTGAAATTTGGGGTGAGTGTGTTTTGGCGGCCGGTTATTTGATTAATCGATTGCCTACTCCATTGCTTACACACAAGAGTCCATATGAAATGTTGTATAAGAAAGCACCACGTTATGATCACTTGAGGGTTTTTGGGTGTTTGGCTTATGCTCATACAACGAATGTACGCGATAAATTTGGACCGAGAAGTGTACGATGTGTTTTCCTTGGCTACGCTCATTCTCAAAAAGGATGGAAAATGTTTGATTTGGACAATAATCAACATTTTATTTCTCGTGATGTACATTTTGTGGAAACTCAATTTCCATATAAAGAAAAGCAAGGGTCTGGTGACGTTTTGGTAGAAACTCCCATGCCTATTATGGGTCAATCTACGGATGATGAGGCAGATGGTGACTTGGTGATTTCGAATGGTGCTGATGGTACTTTAGGTGCTAGCAGAATGCACGAAGCTCAGGGAGATGAGATAACACATGCCGGTCATAGGGAGGGCAGTATGGTGGAAAATTCCCATGCAGCGGCTGAATCATTTACACGTGGTGATACTCAGCAGCATGAGGGTATGCATGGAGATGATGGAGTTCAACACGTGACACGTCGAGGAACACGTGAAAGGCAAAAACCATTGTGGTATTCTGATTATGAAGTGCATCTGAACAGTGAAAATTAATGTGCCGTCTTCCGTTCTGCCTTCTCCGACGGTTTCTTCTGGTAAGCCTTGTCCTTTATCTGATTATGTGACTTATAATCATTTTTCGGTCCCGCATCGTGCTTTTCTTGCAGCTATATCCACCGTTAAAGAGCCGGAAAATTATCATAAGGCCGTTCGTGACCCTAACTGGTGAGAGGCAATGCAACGGGAGATCGATGCAGTACTAGAGCGCAATGGCACTTGGTGGATGGAGAAGCTGTCGGTTGGGAAGAAGCCTTTATTCTGTAAGTGGGTATTTAAAATTAAATACAAGAGCGATGGGAGTATTGACAAATATAAGGCTCGTGTGGTAGTCTGTGGCAACAGGCAAGTACAAAGTATTGATTATCATGAAACCTTTGCTCCCGTAGCGAAGATGGTGACGGTACGAACCATCATGGCAGTAGCGGCTTGTCGATGATGGGAGCTGAACCAAATGGACGTGGATAATGCATTTTTGCACGGGGATTTGGAAGAAGAAGTTTACATGCATCCACCTCCTGGTTATTCAGCTTCTCCGGAGCATGTGTGTAAACTTCTTCGATCTCTCTATGGGCTCCGACAGGCACCACGTTGTTGGTTTTGTAAATTAACAGAGGCATTGCGTTCGTATGGTTTTTGTCAATCTCATGCTGACTATTCTCTGTTTATTTTGCGGCGTGGTGATAAAATACTCTAGGTTTTGGTTTATGTGGATGATCTCCTTATTACAGAAAATTGTCATGACATGATTGTTCATTTTAAACACTTCCTAGCTACTTTCTTCCCGATCAAATATTTGGGGACAATGAAATATTTTTTGGGAATCGAGGTGGCAAGGAATCATAGTGGCATTTTCTTGTGTCAACGTAAGTATGTGTTGGATATCTTGGCTGAAACCGGTTTAAGTGGAGCCAAACTGGTAGCCTTTCCTATGGTTCAGCATCACTACCTAACGTGACAATGGCCGGTTTATTCTGATTCCGAATGGTACCGGCTACTTGTTGGAAAACAAATCTATTTGACACTCAAGCGGCCAAATATTAGTTATTCCGTCCATATTTTATCTCAATTTATGCAAGAACCGCGTGTAGCACACTGGGAAGCTGTGATACGGGTATTGAGATATCTCAAGGGCCACCCCCGGATAGGGAATTCTTCTCCGGAGCGACTCCTCCCTGGACTTGGTGGGCTATTATGATTCAGATTGGGCCAGCTATCCTCTCACACGACGTTCCACTTCTGGATATTTTGTCATGTTGGGCGGATCTCCAATCTCGTGGCGCACAAAGAAATAACTTACTGTTTCTCGCTCGTCAGCCAAAGCTGAGTATCGTTCTATGGCTTCTCTGACTTGTGAATTGATCTGGCTAAAGAGCTTACTTTCTTCGTTGGGTGTGGCGCTGACGCAACCTATCCACTATTTTATGATAATCAGGTTGCTCTACATATTGCCTCCAATCCAGTTTTTCATGAGCGGACCAAGCATATAGAAATTGTTTGTCATTTCTTACGGGATCATGTACAAGATGGTACCATTGCTCCGATACATCGTTCCACTACTGAGCAATATAATTGGCGGATATTTTCACCAAGGCTCTAGGAGCACATCAGTTCAGTTATTTCCTTTCCAAGATGGGCATTCGAGATCTCCATGCTCCATCTTGAGGGGGGTATTCGGTGCCGTCATACGCGCATGCATGAGGAATCCTACGTATGCATGCATGTTATTTTATTCAATTTGGAGTCTTTTGTATTTTTTTCAATCATTTGTTTATTATTTTATTGCTGTACGGTCTTATCACTTTAGTTTAGCCAGCCATGTAGTATTTGTATAGCAGTAGAAGTCTATCGGGTCGTTACGTAGCCTGGCCATCAACTGTATATATGTATGTGGATGTACTCAATTTTTTTTTTTTTTGAAAGGAAACTGCTTATATTAAATTAATCAAAGACTGCAACATACTTCCCCCCTTACACTGCTCAAACTCCTCACTCAGACTTCTAAAAGTACTACCTCTCCTGTACCGCCAAACCTCCTCTTGAGGCTCCGCATAGCCCAAAGGCCCCCCCACTCTCTGGCTAGACTTAGAATAGACCACCCCCGAAGGAGCGAGACCATTCGCGAACCATGTGAGAGTTTCGAAGCTTTTAACGGCCAAACAAGCCTTATCGCTTCCACCAACCTTAGAATCCCAAAGCAAAAAATAAGAGATAAACCCCAACCTACCACTAGAGTTCAAAACGAAAAACAAAAGCAACATGAGTACGATAAAAGGAAAAACAACAAGAAATAAAAAAGTCTTCATGGCCCTCGGCCTTATTTAACTTTAGAAGCTGCGGATCAGTGTCTCTTACTGCATTGCTTGGCGAGCTACAGATTTGTAGCTCGCCTCCTCCCTATTTTTTCCTTCGTTCTGAACCATCTCCATATCTTCCCCGTTCTGGTGCACTGCTGGATCCCCCACACGTCTTCGCTTCTGCTCAATGTATCCCCTCTCGTGTGGTGAAAGCCCGCCCTCCCCACTACTTGGTCGCATGTCGTCCTCTTTGTTTGCACTGGTAGCCTTGTTATCAGAACTGATTCCTTTCCCTGCTGGAACAAGCCATTTATTCTCCTTCCATTGCTTTGCCCCTTTTGTAGCTCTAAGCCATGGACCAAACGGTCTTTCCCCAGTGACTTCGTAGCCCCGCTGCTTATGTGGACAATGGCTTTCCGCATGTCCTATTATTCCGCACAGGAAACAAAAACTAGGAAGCTTCTCATAGCAAAACCTGACACGGAAAGTGACTCCTTCCTCTTTTTGCAAAACCAATTTCCTTTTCAGAGGTTTCCCCAGATCAATACAAACGCGAATCCTCATAAAGGACTCCCAATTCTCAGAAAAGTTATTATCATCAACTTTTATAAAGATTCCTAAAAAATTCCCAATGCGTTCCGCATTCTCAGTAGTGAAATATCCCACTGGGATATCATGAACTTGGACCCAAAAATCTGCTTTATTGAGTGGAACAGACATGGGAATATCACCCTCTTTAAGCCTACTCATAACAATTAAGTTTTGATCAAAAAGCCACGGACCTTCCTCCACAACCCTAGTGACATCTTCCTCATTATAAAACTGAAAAACATACCTCCTAGGACCAATTTCAGTTATGGAAACACCATTTTTCGGTTTCCACACGGACGCCATAATATCTCGAAATTGGGAAAAACGTACCGACTTTTCCGAGGTAATGGTCCCCACCATAGTCCAATTGAGTTTCGCTGAGGTCTGAATCATTGGTGCGACCACGAGAATTTCGTCCTCCTCCTCCAGATCCAACATTCCATAGGCGTTGGCAAGTGCGTCCACTCCATTGGTGCCATTCTGCTTCATATCGTTCTCCCAAGTCACCGAACTCCAGCTTCGATCTTCCACAGCCGCCGTTTGATGCGCTATTGCCGTACGACGAGAAGGAAAAACGCGGACGATCGAATAAGTCGCCGCACCAACCCTAGGCACGAGGCCTCCCGACCACTTTCAAAACAATTACTCAATTTTATTTGTTCGAATAAAATCAATCTTTATTCGGCTAAGTTTTTTCAAAGGGAAAGGAAATTTAAATTGGTTGAAAACGGATGGACTCGGCGCACCTCTAAAGTTGCTGCGCGCACCCCTCTTTCCCCAGGTTTGGACAAATTTGTCCTTGTATTACGGACTATTTGCTATTATTTTACGGTTACACTATTTTTACTCCATATTGACTATTGACCCTATTTTTAATTTGTTCCTTTGACCGCACACTAATACCAGTAGTGGCCGTACATCTCTTTTTGGAGACCTAATTTTGTTTCTAAAGGAAGTATTTTAAAATATTCAAAACATTAATATAATTAGAACAAAATATTATAATGCATGTAATTGGACGATAACATATATCCATCCTAAGGTGAATAGTGCGGCTGAGTATCTTGCATACCGAAACACTCTGATTAGAACCAATACCTTTAATTTTAATCACTTTGTGGGTATCCTTAAGTTTGATGCGATAAGCTACCCGTATGTTCTGTAATTTTCGAGTAGGCTTTGGTATAGCCCTCCTACTCATTGTACTCCTATTTAATCAATAAATTGATGGGATGTTCCAAAAAAAAAAAAAAAAAAAAAAAAAAAAAATCTTTTTGTTCTATCCCAATTAACAAAATTTTATCAGATCAAACCAATTTAGACTAGACTACACCACACTTAAACATATCAAGTCAGACCGAATCAAAATAATACAATCCAAGTGCAACATCCTTATTGCTATTACAATAATTTGAAATTAAAGTCTCCTAATAAATAAGTTCCGCCAAATAAATATGTATGCTTCAAATTTCAATTGTGCCTTCGTATAAATTAATGTTTCCTATATGTACTCTACAATGTTGGATTTATATGTGTGTGTGTGTGTATGTGTATAGGGAACTCTTCCGGTAAGGTATACCTTACCGGAGCCTCCGTGCGGCCTCCACGTTTTGAGGGCCTTTCCGGTGGAATTTTTTGCTGAAATTTTTTGAGCATGTTCTTCATCAACTCTAGTACATCCATACCAAATTTTAGCAACAAATTCAATAGGGAAGGCAATCAAATGATTTTTGAAAGATAACTGCACCCTTTATATACATATAAAACGCAGTTATCTTCCAAAAATTGTTTGGCTGTCTTCCCGATTGAATTTTTTGCTGAAATTTGGTATGAATGTACTAGACTTGATGACGAACATGCTCAAAAAAATTCATTGAAAAATTCCACCGAGAAGGCCCTCAAAACGTGGAGGCCGCACGGCGGCTCCGGTAAGGTATACCTTACCGGAAAGATTTCCTATATATATATATATATATATATATATATATATATATATATATATATATCTAAGTTCTTAAACATTAAATATAAATAGCCATGAGTAACTTTTCAATCATGTTTAAACTTTTATAGTGTCATGGATATTTTTACTTGAGCAAACTAATTGTACATTACATATAAAAAAATAACTATCAAAACTATAAAAAATGACAAATGCATGACTATAATAATGACAACGGTGTTGGAAAAATGGATTTACAAATTAATATTATGGTCATTAATATTATTTGTAAAAAACTATTTTGAAATGAATGAGAAATTGTTTCTTGAAAGATAAGTGTGAAATTATATTTCAGACGCAAACATCGTCGCCGTCGTCTAGTCGGCCGGGTCGGGTTTCGGGTTAGAGTCTTAAACCGTCCGCCCGAGTATATGACTTAAAGATAATTGTATTTGTCGCTCTAAATTTTGGATAATGTTTGGCAATAGACATATCCTTTGTTTTTAGGAGGGTCACATTCTTTCTACATGTGTCTTTTGGGTGTAGAGTCTCCTGGCCAAAGCTCTATATATACCCACGCTTTCCTGCATCACACAATCCTCCTTATTCTCTCTTCCTTCGTTTCATCTTTCACTTCGCCGGAATCCCGTTGAAAGCGAAGAATCGTTCTATTCTGGGAGACGCTTGCTACGTGTGTCGAGCAAAAACATCTTAAGGAGACAACGCTTTTGTTGGGCTCGGTTGATACAAGTATTTTCTTTTACTTCTATTTATTTAATTAATGCATGCAGATTTATATGAATTTTGAATAACAATCTTAAGACGTTTTTCTTATTTGTGTTCGTGCATATTGCTATTTTCTTCATCCTATGGTCGTTTGCAATTCTTCGTATCTTACCGTTGCTCTCTACAAGCCTCTATATGTTATTTAATTGGATTTCATATTTAATGTGTATATATGCATTTAGTACTTTTATTAAAATCACATGACTCACTACTAGAAAAACTTCACTTAGAAATTCCTGTCAATTCATTCGAAATGTCTGTTTTGTGTAAACAGAATGGGAGACGAATAAAACATTACTTTTCCAAAACTATCCCCGCTCATGTAACACCCCCAAATTTCCCTCCCAAAATAATACTTAAAGAAATAATAAACTTTTATTAATTATTCAAAACTTTCAATTGTTTGCAGCGGAATTAAACAATAACAAGGAAAAGAGGCGTGTTACCGCCACACCCAGCACTAACTGACTGGATGCTAAGGCTATCCACCATAAATGTATCTAAAATAAATATTAAATTCAACAGTAATTTGGAATAATGAAGTCTAACAAAGTTAATTTTAAATGAGACTACTCTAAAAGTCGAAGGAGCGCTCTCAATGGATCATTCTTCATAAACCACATCATCTGTATCATAAGAAAATAAAAGAAACAAATAAAACAAAAATTAGCTTATGGTCCGTTGTTATGTACGGCTTGTACACCCCGGGACTTTTGCCGGTACCACTTCTAACCTGAGGAAACTAAACCTCTACCTTAAGTGTGCACACCCTCTAAAAGGGATTCCAAGCCCTCCGAGTAGTAAAAAGTCCAAGCAGTTCGGACGTCAACGTCCCCTTACTCCACCAAAAAGGGATTACCCTATATAAGTGAATAGGTTACTGCTACTACTGAATAACAGGGTCTTTTGCCCGAATTTGAATTACAATAAAACAACCACTTTAACCAATGTCCACAGTCAAGGTCGTAGACACCAAATCCCAACAAGTAATAGCAGTCCTAATCACTCTCCACAGTCAATGCCATGGGAACGAACCTGGCGGTCTTGGTCAATCTATCAACAATTACCCAAATCTTATCCTTCCCGGACTTTGTTAAAGGCAAACCCCCGACAAAGTCCATCGAGATTGAGTCCCACTTCCACATTGGTACCTCCAAGGGTTGCACAAGTCCATTGGGCTTGCATCTCTCGGCTTTCACTTTTTGACAGTTTAAGCATCGAGCCACGAACTCTGATTCTTCATTCTCGGCCACCAAAAGTTTTGCTTCAGATCTTTATACAATTTGTCTCCTCCCGGGTGTACCGAATAGGGCGTGTTGTGTCCTTCTTCCATGATTTGCTTTTTAATGTGCTCACATTTTATCGGAACACACCACCTACCCTTATAGCGAATACTCCCGTCTTCATGCAGCTGAAATATTCCGTTGATCCCAAGGCTGTTATTTATAGAAGTGGCCGAAGGTTCTAGCTACTCGATTAGCTTTGACGTGCGAAGAATACGTAGGTCGTTGGCAGTTCTTATCAATCCGCAAGTGTGTAGCGCAAGTCGTACAGTTTAATTCTTATCTAGTAGGTTATTACTTGTATTTTAATGTTATTAGTATTATACGTATAATTAAGTTTGAAAAGTCGACTCCCCTTTATACTTGCTACTATGACTTTAAATTGTGTGTGTCGTATTATATACTACCTCCGTATATGTGTTTGTATTATTTTTTTTTCCTTTTTAATGCATAAGGTATACTTCTAGCTTTTTTTTTTACCCCGAAAAACCACTGTATATAGTGGGGTAAATGTCGGGAAACATTTACCAATATTATTAATAGTAATAGGTTAAGGATTACAAAGATTGATTATGGAGTGAAATAGGGGCCCAGATTCGGCCCAACAAATAAAAAAGAAAGAAAGAAACAACATGTGTCAATACAGGAGAATAAAATCCTGCCATCAAACACAAAAGGCCAAAAGTGAATTGTCGCAACCCTAAGTTTTGGAGGCTTCGTTTATAGAGAGAGACTTCATCTTCCTGGGGAATATTTCAGCCGGCTGCCGGCGTCCCTGAAGAAACTGACGTCGTCCTTGTCATTGTAGAAAGCTTGCTTGGCATTGGTGTATAACTATGGCACGTATAAACTGAAAGGTATACTTCTAGCCATGGTTTTAAATTGCGGTCGCGGTCGCGGTTGCGGTCGCGGTTGCGGCCAATGCGGCCGTTGCGATGCGGAGGCCACTGTGGCGTGAAATATTTTCATTTCGCACATAATAGCATTAAAATGATTTTTTTTTTTGCTTTCTTTAACAAATCTTATATTAACATATAGTATGTACTACCTCCGTCCCGTAATGAAGTTCTCATTCACTATTTATTTAGTCAATTCAAATCACTTTTGAATTTTTATTGTAGTTTCTGAATATGTAAATATTCTTTCCTAAAAATAATCTTAGTGTTGACATGAATCAATTTGCTTTATCGTCATCGTAAACAACGATGGAATCTTCTTTATGAGGCGGAGGGAGTATTTAACATACATTAATTATGTATGAATAATTCTGCAAACACTAATATGTAAACAACAAAGTAACCAATAAGAATATGAAGATTTAAAATAATTGATTATTACTCCGTAGTTTTTTTAAAATCGAATAATGATTACTGTTTAAATAATAAAAATAGTTTAATTTTTTAAAGCTAGTATACATATACCAGTATATACGAAGTACTTCGTATAGAAAAAAATTAGGTCCACCCTAAAAAATAAAAAAATTAAAGTTTATAGCATCTACTTCATCCTCAAATATATCCTCAA